AACGTTCAACCAAAGTTTAATCATCGTCATGTGCAAATGTTCATTTTGTTTTTTTTAATGATTCCATTATTATCCAAGGATATAAAAAAGTAATAAAAGAGGAAATAAACCTTTACAAATGGCGAAAAGGTTCAATTCATGATAACTGAAAACCACAGTAAATTTGTCTTCACGTCTACATTAATTTCGATTCAATTGAAAGTTGGAAACCTATTAAATTTAAAGTTTCTATTCAAATTCAAACTCTTTTTGATTGATTCAAAGCAAATTGAACGACAATTAGCTAAATTTTAGTCGATCAAATTCGACACAATTGGAAATGTTCAATCTCGTTCAATACTTATCGATTGAGAAAACAAATCATTTCCTTGATGAGCCAAGATTGAAATAAAGATTTAGTTAATTGTACAAATTGGATAAAGAAAAGTTTCAATTTTGTCCATTTCATTGTTGCCTTAGAAACTCTGAATTTCGTATCTTCGTTCAATTAAGACTTTTACAAAAATCAATTTCAAGTGCCAATGAGAGTTGAAAGTGTCAGTCTTGACACAATTGATGTTGACAATTGAAAAATGAGCAAACAATTTAATTTCCGATTACAATTTCAAATTATTATTTATTGTCTTTTTGTCTCTCGATATTGAAAATGAAAAAGATTCATCAACTTGAAGTAGTTTCAAGTGAAAGACAAACACTCTGATAATCATTACAGTTGACTGTTTCAATCAATTTTTCAATCGGAAACTTGAAAAGTCAAATCTCGACTTTCATTAACGACTTTTGAGTAAACAAAAAGTTGACATTGCAATTGATGACTTGATAGCTGTTTAGGTGAGCAACAAAAATGAACAAAAAATCGCCAAAAATCTATCATCAAGTGATAATATTAATTTGATATTGATGAAACTTTGCATCATCACATGGAAACATGATGATTCCCAAAAGCATTTGGCAAAAGTAAAATGAGAAGAGAATGAAAAAAGAGCCAAAATTTCTAGATAAACAGGGAATTGTCGAGTTATCAATCTTTACCTTTTCATTATGACTTTCGCTTTCCTCTTCCTTTCCTCAAATAAAAGGCTAATCCAATTGCAATGTCAACCATTTGATTTAGTTGATTGCGAGTATCGATACAAGATGAGAAGAGAAGAAAAAATGACACTTTTTCTTCATTTATCAATTTCTTTTTTTAACAAACATTTCTTTTCCTTTTCGCCATTCTTCAACTTGAAAAGACTAATAAAGATGATGCCGATACAGATTATGGAAGTGAACATTTTTCTTCGAGAATATCAATCATTCTGATTTTTCAATTGAAATGAAATCGTTATTCAAATGCTTTTCTGACTTTTAACCAGTCGCATTGTTGCATCGTCATTTACCCAAAATTGAGTTTCAATTTGTTAGTTTTTCAGGGAAAATCTGAGTAAACGAAATAAACCATTATATTGGACTTGTGTTGCTTTGCTTAAATGATGTTGAAGGAACAAACACAATTCTCAGCTTTACCATTATCATCATCAATTCAGTTTTAAATTGTTGGATCAAAGTGAAAATATTATTTGAACATTTTCTTTTTACCTCTTTCCTTTTTTTATTCTGGCCTTAAATTGCTTTTAAAATCAATCAACTTTGAACAGGAACAAAAAATAGATGAAGTTTGGGTGAGAAAACAACAACAAAAATAATGTTGCAACAAACATTATGAGCTTATTGAGAAACAAGAAATGAGAAAAGGAGAAAAGCTCAAAATTTGTTCAGTTGCATGGAATTAACTGATTGGAAATTGTTTCATCGGAAGAAATGAAAAAATGAAAGTTGTGATTAAAAGTCATTAACAGTTATCATTGAGTTATAATTGTAAAAGCATGGAAAAGAGTCGAGATTGAAAAAATTGAAAGCTTTTGAGGTTAGTCAGAAGTAAAACTGGGAGTTGAGGATTGGGAGTGACTGGGAGTTGGGCTGGGAGTGTGAATTGAATGGAACCCATCAATGTCCAGTATTGTTCATTTGCCTTTTTTTCTCGAGAAAACTTTCGTATTCAATGTTCGAAATGTTTGTTGGCTTCTTCGTAAATTGAATTCAAAGTTGAATAGATTGAATGATTTTATCATTTAAAGAAGATAAATGATGTTGAAGAAAATGTTGAAAGTTAAAGAGTGTAATATGATACGTTTATTTGATATTGAATGGTGAAATGAGGTAAAAGGTAATATGATGAGTAACAAGATGAGTCATGGAGAAGATGAAAGGTCAATTGAATGACCATGAAAAATGGGCCAGTGAATGAAATAAGAGAGTGAATTAACTCGTTTGGTTGTTAAGGAAAGATGAACAAAGTAATGCTACTCTTGTTAGAATTCAATTGTATTTTCTTATCGAATCACATTCAAATGCTGTAAATGAACATGATGCATCTGCAAACTGCTCAGTGAGAATACAGTGAAATCCAATATCGAACACAATTCTGCATCAACAGGTACATTAAGTTCGAAAATGATCAAGTCCATTAAGTTTGCCTTCGGTGGTTAATCAAGTCAGAATAAAAAGCATGAAAAGGCTTCAAAATCTGGTTCTGCTTCTCACAGCAGTCAATGAGCTTCATCAAGATTACAGAGAAAATTTTCTCGAATTTTCAGAGGAAATTTGTAACTTTTCAAATCGAATCCAGAATTTGCAAACTTGTATTTTCTGAACTTGAAATTAACAAAGCGCTCTAATTTGCAACTCTTACAATTAGCATTTTGAAAATTTGGAAAACTCAAGACTTTACTTTTATCTAAATGGACTTTTTGGTTCCTCAGTTTCATTTTCATAGAAACGAAAAAATTTTGTTCCAATTTTGTATTGGTTTATTTGTTGATGAAAAGAGTTTAAACAACTTTAGATTAAACTCGAAATGCCTTTAGGAGAAGTTAATTTTTCATGAAAATAACGAAAATGCCTTTGAATTCAAGTGTTTACCAGTTTTCTGCTCTAAATCATTTTCTCTCCTTTTCTTTACATTCATCTTGTTTGCTTACTTAATACTTATTTACTAATGAGATCCTAATTATTTATACCCGCAAGAAAAAATGTGAAATTCTTTTTTCTTCTCCCATGCATTCTGTTTGTTTCATTTCCATGATCATTCTCTGAATACTTTTCCATGTTGATTTTCAGTGGAATTGTGTGCAGAAAAAAAAGTGTGCAAAAGTTGATTAATTTTCATGATTCTACTAATATTAAGGTTTGATGAATTGTTTTTTTCCCCTCTTTTCTCAGTTATCCAAATGGCTCATCAACATGAACATGAAAATGAACTTATAAGTGAATATCAATTGAACCTTTTGTGGTTGACTCTGTTTTGATTGAGTTCAACTTGAAATGCATCAAAGTTGAAGGTTAACGAAATGAAACTCTTTTTTTGTCAACTTGAGTTAAATTGTTTCCTAAGTGATTTTCAGCCTCAAAGTAAAGGTTTTTCAATCTGGTTTCATATAATGTTGAAATGATTGATTACACTGAAATGTCAAAAGCATACTTTCATGACTTTGATAAGATGATGTTGATAATAATAATGGGCAAAGAGAGAGAGAAAAGTAAACAAGAGCGAAAAAAAGGTTGTAAAAAGCATTGGACAAGCAAAGGAAACTAATCGGTAAAAGTACATTTCAACACACAAAGAGTCAAAATAATGTGAAATGAAAATCTTGAAACACGAAAAAAAGCAAAAAAAAGTTCCAAAAGAAATTCCAACAGATTCCTTCAATAATAACAGTTTGATTTATCGTTTCATTTCGAGCAAAGTTTCATCTAAAATGTAAATTACTTGTCAATCATAATCGTCATGGAATCCAGTCGATTCTAATTGCAGTCATGATTTAGTAAACTTTTTGGCTCTTTTTGTTTGATTCTGTTTGTCGAATGGAAATTATTTCATTTGTAAATGTTAAAGTGCAATGAGAAACTTTGATTGTCAAGATGTACTTTTAGGGATTTGGCAAGAGGAAGGGAAGAGTGAAGAGGAAAAAGGAAAGGAAAGTTTAATAATTGAAAGTGATGATAGTAATGATGAGGATGAGAGTAAATGGGTTAAAACTTGGATCGAGAGGAAAGGGTAAGAGTTGGTTAACATCATTGATTATGGTGAATGATGAAGTTGGTAAGGAAAATTATATTATTAGTTAGAGTTCTGTAATCGTGTTTTCTGCACAACAAGATTTTCCCTCAACCAATAGTGAGATGCAGTTAAGTGTTGCTTCCATGTTGATCAACATTTCAAGTCAACCTATTCTCATCATCTTTTAACCCTTCTCAGATCACCAGTTATCTATCAAAATTTGGTGACCCAAAGAGGCAACATTTGCTTCCTTCTTTTGCCTCTTTTTTTTGCTTCCCTTATTTCAATCATTCATCCGTGTTCAACTTGATTCCTCGAGATATTTCATATCTTTTGTTCTACCCTTGAAACATGCTAACCAAGAGAATCGAAAGAAAAGAAAGAAAAGAAAAGAACTTTGGACTTGGAGTTGTTGGTGTAAAAAAATAACTCTTGGAACCAAATTGACATAATATTTCTTGTGGAAGAAAAAGAAGAGAAAGAAGAAAAAAGTTCATGCGAATGACACTTTTACCTATTATATTAATATCTTTTTCATTTTTACATCCATAATACAGACTCTGGGAGATATTACATTTACAAGGACAATAACAGGGAGAGACAATAATGATAATGATAACAAATAGAGGAAGAAGTTTTTTTCTTTGATTACACTTTTTCCCTTCTGTTTACTTCGCTTTTTTTGTTTACTCTTTTCATTGGATGGACAACTCATCAACCTCATTCAGATCAACTGAAACAAAGCATCTTTCATTATTCACTTCATTTAATTCAGAGCATCTGTTGACTCGACTGTTCAACCGCGAAATTGAACCCTCAGTGCCAATGAGAGCATCTTCATTGGGAAAATTTATCGCTCATTTAGAATTACAGAAAAAACAGAAAAAATTGTTCTTACCAAATCTATCCTGGGTGGTGGACAGGAAGGCGCAGGGGACTCCATACATGCATCTACAAATGAACAGGAACCTGAACACCAGACACATTGATATTTTCTGTCACTTGTTTGGCACAGGGAACAATCGGGTTTGCTCAGGTGGCTTCCAAGAAGATCACATTTGTACAGTGTAACTAGTGATTAAAGGAAACATTAATGACACTCTTCATATGTTTCAATGAAACTTTTTCATTCAACTTACCATTTGTTTTATCTATTAAAGTATCTCCATCCCAAAGGACTGATAATTGTGCGTACATTTTACCAACATCACTTTGATATGTATACTTGAGGTTGGGAGGGAAAAAAGTAAAAGATTATCATTGCGAAAAACAATTTGTTATCATTGTATTATTTAAAAGATAATGTTCATTAATGATGATGAATAATCATGTTCAATTAAAATAATATTGATATTATGTTATAACAGAGGAAAAGGGAGAAATGCTCTGAAAAAAGTATTGCAATAATTATCTCATTTAAATGTCTTTAGTCTTGTAATTTAATTAATTACAGTGGCTCTAATTAACTCTGTAAATGCTATAATTCAATACCGCATAATATTGTACAAGAAATGACAGAAAAAGTGAAACAAAATGTTCCTTTTCCCCTTCAGAATTCAATCTAATGTTCATCTTGTCACTTCTGGTTTTCCTTCTGATTTCATTGAACTCAAATCATTTTCTTATTCAAACTTTTCAAGCAAAGTTTCAAACTGAAATAAAAGCGCCAAACTAATTGGAATTGCGAAGAAATTTTAGAAATTGAAATTTTTCCAAACTCGAGAAAGTTGAAAATTTTGAGAACTTCGAATAAGAGAAATAAGTAAAATTGAAAAACAAATTCTGCTCAAAATTTCGAAAAGTTCTAAAAGTTCTAAAAGTTCTAAAGCGTCGAATATTCGAAAGGTTCTAAAATTTCGAAAAATTTAAAAAGTTCCAAAGTTTTCTGTTGATTTAGAAAAGTTTAGTTTTATGTTTGATATTTGGAATATTGAAAATTTTCTTTTAATTTCTGAAACTTGAACTTACCATATTTGGTGCACAGATTATTCTGTCTCCTTTTAATCTGGCAGAAATTCTTGCTCGAGCTCCTTCGATTTCAATGATACACTCGAGATTGGCCTGAATTGAAAGAAAAAGCAAAACCATTTTTCATCATTGATTAAATTTGCTCAAAATTTTAATAAAGCTGAGTATTTTTTTTGACTTTTCAGGTTGATTGATTGAACTTTGTTTTACGCATTTTTTGTTCATCTTTACTGATTGTGTTTGAAACAAAACATTTTCAATGCACCAGTCAATTGATCCATCAATTGTTTAAACTTATTTAACCATGTTATAATCATGGAAACTTGTTTTACTTTTTTTTCGCTTCTCTCCCTTTCCAAATCGCTGAACATTCTTGTATATTATACATGATGTTTACTCATCACTGTTTGTTTACCATTTCATGGTTTTTCTTTTTCTTCTTCATATCAATTCAATTCAGTTGCATTCCAACCGCATTTCCATTTCACCAACAATTCACTCATCTTTATTAACAATCATTAAATGCTTTTGTTGTATCATTCCGGTTAACTCACCATTTGATTGCCAAAGTTTTGCACATGAATTGTTATCTCACGTTTAGCACCATTTGGAATTAAAATTTCATGATCGATTCGAAAACTTGGACAATATTCAGACGAAAGATCAGACGATGAACCAATGGAGGGCTGTGGTAGAGAAGAAAAAAAGTAAATCAAAAAAAGTTCTTTTCTTTTCAAGACAAACTTACATTTTCATTGGACAGCACATGATGACCTGAACATAGACTACCATTATGTGTACATTGATTATCTTGGATGCACCAATTGCAAGGCCACTTTGCTTTAACACAAGATCGACATCTAAAGACGAATTGATCGATAAATTTACACATCAAGACAATGAGGATGAATTACAATGAATCTTTGCACGAAAAGAAAATGTTTTTTCGCCTTGTTTTCCAATAAAGTCAACGAGTTTATTGAATTGATTTTTCCAATAATTATACTTTTACTTTGAATAAAATTCTGATTTCATTTCTTATCATGTTGCATTGATTCATTTGTAATACTCATTTCATTTTTTGGATTTTTTCTCGTTAATTTTACTCACGTTTTGTGAACACTACATTCATAGTAAACGAAAGGTTTGGATATAAAATCTTTCTGAGTAACGGTACTTCGCACGGAAAGGTTGATCAAGACATGATCTGAATTAAGAAAAGAAAATCAAAATTTTCATAAAATGGAAATGTTAATAAAATCGAAAACTCTAATGCAAATGCAAATAATATTGACAACTTGACTCAACAGCAAGTAACTTCAACTCTTCAACGGCTCTTCAAAGAACCGAGTCAATGTCATGAAAAATTTCGTCATTTTCTGAAAATAGACTGTTTGAGTTGAGCTAAACAGATCATTTCGGATAACCATGAAACTTTTTTTCGGAATTCTAAGAATTCTTTGATTTGAAGTTAACGGGAATATAAACATTCAATGATAAGCATAAACATTGAAAAAGAAACTTTGATTTTTTGAAAAGAGTTGAAAAGAGTTGATGCAATCTGTTTGGTCTAACCTGACCTAACCTATTGTGCATTAGTTTGATTGAAGAGGAAGAAATTTTTATCGTTATTGATTGATTATACCTTTTCCTGGTGGAATAGAAGGTCTCTCTTCAATTGGAGGAGTTCGACATGAAAGGCCGGTATGAGTTTGACGAGCTGGTAAAGGTGTACTTGAGTCACCAAAAAGGCATAAATATGCTGCTGGATAAGGCGAAGGAGGAAGTTGCGTGATGTACAATTCAACCTGTAAAATGAGACCAAAAGTTGAACAACTTATTGATAAAAAATCGATTTCTTGTTGACTTGTATAATAATCATTAATGAAACAAAGTGAACAAAAAAATAATGTTAAACATTTTTCCAAAGTCAACTTTCTCTCAATAAAAAAAACAGAAACATTAAAGTTGAATCAGGTTGAGACACGAAAAATACTTACATTTGAAATGGCAGTGAAAGGCAATGAGTTTGGACGAACCTCTTCAAACTCAATACACTGAGATGTTCCCAACGGAAGCCAACGCGGTGAAGTAAATATTTTCTCGGTCAATGACCAATTACTATTATCATCACAATCACTTCGAGAAGTGCACCTTTACACGAAAAGAAGAAGAAAAAAGTTGCAAAATAATTGAAATGGAAAATGAGGCAAAAGAGAAAAAAATGACAAAAAAAATTACCTTCGTTCAAGTGAACACCAACCACAATAAGGATTGTGTGAGTTTAAACATGAACTACAACTATTATAATGTTGACATCTTTCAACTTTTACTTTGGCAACCTGAAGAAGAACGACAAAAAAAACGAAAATTAAAATTCCAAATCAACTGATTAACCCAATTAATCCCTTTACCTTGTAAGGCGTTGCGGTGATTACAAACTTATGAGTATGGTCAAGATGAATATCTTTGATGATTGGATTTCCTTTGTCGACCACAATTTGTTCAAACTCGTGGCCAGCATCATAACTTGATATGAGAACCTGATAAAAAGGAGGAAAAAAATTGAAATCAGAAAATGAACCTTTTCCAATTTTCCAACGAAACAAATTTCCAATGACATTATCAGTATAGACTGATGAGTGAATTAGTGAAGAAGCAAGTCTGGTCAAGATTATTGTTCTGAAAACAATTACCAAAGTAATTAGGGTTTTACACCGTTCAAGCATCATGGTTCACCTAATTTCTAACAAATTGTCAGCCCACAACAACTTCATTTGGTTAACAATGTTTTGTTACATTTAACCCATCACAGGCACACACACAACATGAAGGAAAAAGGAAAGAAGAGAAACGAGAAAAAACAAATTAACCCATTTTTACTCTCATTTCAAGCCTTTTTTTCTTCTGGTCTTCTCTTCTTTTCCCTTTTTCATCCCATTTCCTTGCTTTACTTTTATCACCATCAAAGGCTCGTTATTCACTCCCAACAATCACTCCCTGTTTACTTGACTGTTAACTCATTAATTATGTCCACAAATTGTCAATTGTCATCATAATCAACGAACGCCATTCCCTGCAAACTTTTCATCCTTTTTTCTTCTTCCAATAATTCTTTTCTCTTTTTTCCATCTTTTATCGCTTCTTTAATGTTCCAACCTTAATGGTAATATTGATACATGATTAGAATGGTCAATTGAAATTATTTGTTCTCTGGTTTACCTTTTCCAAGCCAATCAAATGAATTACCTTTTAATTTGGGTTAAACTAACCAAATGATGGCAACAATGACTTTACTCATTACACTTGAATAGCCAATTGGTTGGTTCGTATTCAATCTTTGATTCAACTTGATTCACCTTCAATGACTACTCAATGTTTCACTCAATCATGTTTTCTCATGGAATCTACTTGATTCCCTGTGATTAAACAAAATGTAGCAAAGGGTCTCAACATAATTAGATGATTAACGGATAAAACCCTTTAATTAGTGAAAAAACAACAAACAAGCAAACAAGAGATAAGTTTATAAGCTTTAATTAGCAACTTTCATAAACTTTCATTTCCCTTCAACTTGTTAATAACATTGATAAATCTTTGCTAATAATAACGATGTTAATGATAACCTTTATGAACCTGATGCTTTTAATGATGATATTGAGAAACAAAGAACAGAGAAAAGATGAAAATGAAGAAAAAAGTTCAACGAAAATTATTGGTTATCATTACCATGTTACCATGAATCTTGTGAGGAAAAAATGAAGAAAAGCTGAAGAATCTTTTGCGTCGTCGAAATTTCCGTTTTCACTTTTTTCTTCTTCTTTTCACCTTTTCTCAGTTGTTATCAATTCATTATCAACCATGATTCAATCATTGACTGACAAATTATTGGCAAAACAGAAGTTGAATGTTTGGATAAATTGAGTCAACTTGTCAGATAATTTGTTTAGACAATTTGTGATCATCAATTATGAAATTTATGATAATTTGGATTCACTTTTGTTTCACTGTTTGCCAAAAGTGTCAAAATTGATTTAAATTGATTGTTTAGTCAATAATTGGTGAGTGTTTTAAAGAGGATTAGATGAAGGAAATCAATGATTACTCTAAAAAATGGGTTTTCACCAAAATAAATATAATTAAAGTTTTTGCTTCTTCTGAGCTCTTCTTTTGCATAAATTATGGATAAAGATGCAAGTTTAATACAATTACCTAAGAATCTTGGAAAGTTTACTGAAAAGATGATGAAGGATAAGATACTGATGAGGATGATGAGGATGATGAGAGGTAAAATTAAGGAAATGAGATGAAAAGAGAAGAGGAAATGAACGTTAAACTTGTTCTTTTTTTACTCTGTTAATTGATCTTTTTAATTGGCTTTCAATGAAAGTTGAGTTTCTTCTTTTTTCTGCCTTTTCTTTTCTCAATTTCACTGGAAAAGCTGAACATTCTTTATCAATGCGCTGGTTCTTTTAGAGGAAAAACAAAAAAAAGTAAAATGATTAAGGTTAAATGATGAAAGCTTTGAATGAAAAGGAAAGATGAAAATGGCAGAGTTTGCAAAGAACCGTTTGTTTACTGTGTTGATGGATTGGTTATGTGAAAATTTGAATGAAACGGAAAGGATAAATTGAGATTCAATTTTTTGTTTAGCTTGTGATCCATTGCAAGGTACAACAATTGTTCAACTATTAAGATGCTTGATAAGCAAGGTTTCATCATGTTTAAACAATTCTGTAAACTCTTTCAACTATCATTTACATTTTAATCATTTGAAGTCTGTATCTTGATAGATGAAAGGAAATGTCAATGAAAAGAGTTGATCAACTCTGGTTCAGGCTTTTAAAGACAATCAAAAAATCGGGTAAATTTGAATATAATACATTACATTCACTCTCAAGTCAACCTAAACCCAATTTTCGTCTTTCATTTTCTTACCAGTTTTTCTCTGGTACACGATTCAACCTTAACATCCTACCGGTCCAAAAGTGACCTTCAAATAGTAGAGGTCAACTGCACGTTGAAATGGCCATGAATTTCGTTAACATCAAGAACTAAAGGTTGAAGAGGATCACAAAGAAATGTGAAGAAACACAGATCTATTCAATAAATCACAATATGAACAGACGTTAGTCAATCACAAGAACAGTTAAGGTGGACAATAATCAAAATCCTGAAACGTAACCGCTGGCCAACAATTAAATATTAATAGTTACTTGTTTAAGACAATAAGGAAATATTCAATTAATTAATCACTTGCTTTGGTTTCACATAAGATTTACACAATTGATAGAGAAAGGAAAAGGAAAAGCAGATTGAAATGGAGGGAAAGGTTGAGGGATCAGCAATATATTACGAACTGTGAGGAAAGGGATAAATAAATGATACAATTCCTAGTAAATCATTATTTAATCATGATTAGAATATGAAATCTCTTGAATAGACCGCTCTGGTGATGAGTACATGATGGTACAATTGTACATGAGTGAACGTAAGAATTGGATGAAATGGTTTGGCTAAGAAAATTTGGCTAAGAATTTTGGTGTTTGGAAAAAAAGATTTTTTCTTCTAATCATGAAATGTTCAACTTTTTCTGTATCAATTGGAATGAATTTTCATGGGTTAAGCATGGTTGGTAAAGGAATAGGAAAAGGCAGCCAAAGGGTAGTTAATCATTGAAAGTCTCATTGGAATGTTGATGGTTCTCTTGGTTCAACTCTTTTTACATGGCGCTCTTTTACGATTCTCTTGATTCTTATCGTGATGCTTATCATGATGATGATGATGATTTTCACCATTATTTCCTTTTTTCCTCATTTTTCAAGCTTCTTTATTCACTTATTCAGTGGAATGTGTGTGGTTTGATTCCTACGAGAGTCTGATGATCTCAATTGTTTTTAATGTTCATTTGTGGTTGAACATTATTCAGGGTAAAAACGGATAATCATTTTTCACGCAAAAATAAGACTCAGTTCAGTGAATTGCTTATTCTCATTGCTTTTTATAATCATTTTCACTCTTCATTCCCTTCTCAACCATTCTCAGTGTTTTTTCATTTCATTTATCACTTATATGGTTATGGTGATGAAGAATAATTAACTTTTAAAGGTAATAGAATTCAATGAAAAAGGTGAAAAAAAGGGAAGATGATAAAGTTTAATATAATCTGCAAAAACAGATTGTAATTATCATCATGAAAATGTTTAGAAAATAGAAAAAGAGAAGAAAAAGTTTTCATGTTTTAAACATTGAAATTGAATGTAACATTACACAGAATCCATCTCTATGGTAATGAAGTCTGTCGAAGTAAAATTCAATGAATTTCATGTTGAACAAGATACAATCTCGATATCGACTAAAATCTAATTTGAAATTAAACTGAACCATTTTTCATATCTCAACCCTGAGTAATGTCACGTTGAAACGTTTAAAGTTGCGATTTAAAGATAAAAACTAACAGGCCTGTGATTAAAAGCAGATCATTGTAGTGATAATTAAATTGTTGGCGAAATTGGAATACTTTAGGGATTAATTTGAATAAATGAAAAAAGACGAGTTTTCAGGGAGAGAATGAAAAGAGAATAAATTTCTCATTATTTCAAGTTGCATTCTGTTTATTTCATCCACATCATCCTCTTAACTTTCATGCAAATGGCAAAATTACGATACAAAATGAGTGCCGAGTTTCAAGATTGAACAGAACTGAATAGTTAATTTTGAGATGAAAAAAAGTTTTTTGCTTAATTAGTTTTTACCCAAAGTGATCATTCAGATTGAAGCATCTCATGCATGTTGATCGTGACTTGACGAAGCCTTCATTTAGGTTGTCCTTTGCTTCTTGCCCAGCCTCTTGTGCTTCACTCGTGATGAGAAAAAAAAGTGAAAACAAATTTTTCTTTTCCAAACCAATGTTCACTTAATACCAGTTATTCAACTCTTCATGGGTTATTTCATTCCATCACCATGTAATTTCCCTTTATTTGCAAATCTTTTCCCACACTTTTTATTAGAAAAATTTGTCTACATTTGACTATCATGAATAATCATCTAGGCCAGAATGAGGTGAATTACAAGAGAAACAAACATTTTTTTCCAGTTGAAATATTGAAACAGTTCAATTCGATTACATTACCATGTAATAATAACAAATCTAACTCGATTCCTTACCCCTGTTAACACTGAATAATAATGATATAAATCAAAGCATGAAAGTTGGCTGGAAAATGTGAGCGAAAAATGAATGAAAATTTGGTGGAAAAATGTTCAATCCTTTAAATCGATCTGAAGCAATGGAATATTGAATTGAAATAATTTACATTTCATGTTGGAATGGAAAAAGAAGAGAAAAAGGAAAAAAATTTTCTCTTTCATTTGGCATTTCAAAGCCATGAGTTTCAAATGTACTCTTTATGCTTGTGAAGATGGAAAAATTCATTGGATGGCGAAAAGAAGAAAAAGTTGCATTCATGATGATATTCATTTTCCAATCAACAAAACATTTTTCATGTTGGCAACAACAACTTTTTGTTGTTCATTCAAAGGT